CAGAACTCCCAGCCTCTCAGGAGCCCCTCCCTCCTACCCCCCCTCTGATCTCTTCTTTTCCAGGCGGGGGGGTGGGGGGTGGGGATGCTCGGTTGGGGAGTTGGTCCTGCTTTGGGGCGAACCCCGTCCACCGCCAGTTCATATTCTGGGGGGGGGGAATCACAGGGCGCACTTGCGATCTCTCCCTTCCCCCACACAGACACACTTGACAAGTCATACCTGCCCACGCTTTCATGAGGACTAGAAGCTTTCCCTGGCCTCCTCCTGACCCCTGATGGTGCTTTTTCATGACTTTCCCTTTCGGAGTGATTCAGCCGCTCAGAGCTTGGGGGGATGGGGGCAGCCGGGCTCTGGGCCCCGTGCAGAGGGGCAGCCGCTGCCCACTGGAGCCACTTCCCTGCCCCCCCCCCATTCTGCTCACAGGGGTCGCCTTTATGGCCCCCTCCGGCCATAAAGCGCTGCTTTCGGCTCCCTGTTGGGCGGCTGAGGGGAGGAGCGTAAAGACCCCCAGGGGCCCTCCGCCTGCCCCCCCCAAGAGCAGCCACCTGGGGCTCCAGCGCTCAGCCCCCCCCCCGCCCGGCCCTTCTTTGCCCCCTCCCCACACCCTCCCCCGTGGGGGTGACAGGCCAGGCTTTCCCAGAATCCTCCACTGGCTGCACGCTGGCAGGGGAATTGTGGGAGCCGAAATCCACGCCCTGCCCAGGGTGGGGGAAGGGGGGCGAGGTGAGGCTCCTGGCCTCTCCTGCTCTTGGTGGCCTTTGGGGGGGGGGGGCTCTCAGCCCCCGGGAACCTCCTCGGATTCCCCGGAGGGCCTCCTGGGGGCCTGATCTGGATGGCTGCAGGCCGGGCCCCTCCTCTCTGCCCTCCGCTGTCTCTGCTGCCAGCTGCTCCTTGGCCTTCCCTGATGGGGACCCCGGTTTATTTGGGGGGGCCCCTGGCGTAGCTCTGCCTCCCTTTCCCGACCCCCAGAGCGGAGTCTGCGAGGTCACGGCCAGGGCAGGGGGAGGGGGGGCAGCTCTGCAAGGAGCTGAGCAGCTTTTGCAGAAGTGCCCGTGGGCCGGTGCCACTTCCTCTTGTGGGCAGCCAGGCCCCGAGGTTCCCAGCGCCGGCCTGGCAGGTGAGTCACGCGAGGGCTGAGTCATCTGCAGAGCGGCCCCGGCAGGCGCTCTCGGCTCGCCTAGGGGGAGCTCCGGCCCCGGGGCCAGGAGGAGAGGGCAGCAGCCCCCCTCCCCGTTCCCCCCCTTCCCCCCCCTCTGGGTGTTTCGTTCCAGAGGTGCAGCTCCCTCACGCACACACAGACACGGCCCTGCTGGGCTTGAACCGCTGTCTTCCCAGGCCTCGTCTGCAGGGCATCGGGGGGTAGGGGGCTGTAGGGGGCCATGCTTGAAACAGGGGGGTGTCCCAAGCTCAGCCCCCCTCACTGCAGGGTGTTCTCTGCCCCCCGAAATGTTTGGGGAATGCGGCTTCAGGGGCGTCTCTTGCAAAAGGCAGCTGGACTCTCTCGGAATTATTTTCTCCTCATCCAGGAAGTTCCTTCAAGAAAGTTTTTGGATGAGAAGGGAAACGTTTTTCTAGGGAAAAACTAAGAAAGTCCAGTTGACTTTTGGGGGGGAAAAAACCTCTTTTGGGAGGAGGGGGAGGCCCCACAGACCTTCAGGGACCCAGCTGGGCTCAAGAAGGGAAGGGGGGGAGCTCAGCATCACAAGCAAGACCACCACCATCCTCCTCCTGATCCAGCCCCTCCCCTCCAAAGCAGGACCCGGCTGTTTGGGGCTCAGAGGGCCTGTGGGGGGGGGGGCAGTTCAGCGAAGGACTCCAGCACAAGTGGGGAGAGGGAGGGGGGTGCTTCTCCATCCGGTGGGGGGGTGCCTGCTTGAGGTTCCCTGGGTTTCCTCCTGCCTGAGCAGAGGCTGGACGGGGGCTCTCGGACCACTCAGTGTGGCCAACGCTCGGGGGGGTCAACCTGCGGCAGGACCAGAGTGACCCTCATATCCAAGAAACGGGGGAACGGAGGGGGGAAATGGAGCCTGGGTGACAAAAGTTAAAACAAACGTGAAACTTACTTTAAATACTTCAATGGCCTTGCTAGATTCTCCCGCAGTCAGTTCTCTTGCAATGAGTTGGCCCTGCTGGCTGCACCGAGTGGCCCCATTCCGTTGGACTAGATGACCTCAAAGGTCCCTTCCAACTTGGCTACTCCGGGGCCTCCTGGCAGGCCAGTGGTTGACAGGGCAGGGGGTGCTTCCCCCCCCCCCCCCCCC